TCTTTATAAACAATCCACGACGGTTTTCATAAAAAAATCGTCATCTTTACATACAATACACGACGGTTTTATTAAAAACAGTCGTCTTTCCTCCTATAATTAACGATCTTTACCTCTAAACAACGACGATTTTCTTTAAAAACCGTCATCTTTACTGATAAACAACGACGGTGAAAAGCCGTCGTAGTTTGAAACCCAAATAGACGGCAGTCGATTTCACAACCGGGCGAAAACCTTTTACACGACGGTGGTTTCCTGTCGTCTATTTCGATTTTTGTTGTAGTGCTTTCAATTTATGTATAGATTATCAAAGGGAAAAGGCTTTGGTTGGAGATATTTGGTAAATCGCTATTCAACTCCAAGTATGTATTTGTCTATCCCTTGTAATTTTTCTTGCGTAGTATATAATTGTTTATCCCTTTAATGCAATTGTGAACTTGTGTTGGTGAAATTTTAATTTTAATTTATAAATTTCTATATATATGATTCTCTATTGGTTTGATTAATATATTGCTTTGAATTGCTCAATTTGCTTTGGTTTATAAGTTTGAGAAGATGTTCATAACTGTTTCGATTTAAATTTAGTTCATATATGTGTTTCAGTTATGGAAAGATTTTTCAAAAGAAAATCAAAGTCTGAGTTAGTGGAGTCGTCACTTGCAAAGAGTCAAAAGAAAAATGAAAGTAGTCCAAACCAAACTACGGAAGTTAACTCGGAAAATCTGCCATCTGATCCCGGATTACGTAATCAAATATTGAGTTACCATCCAAATGTTCAAGACCAAGTTCGAAGAGCTTATCTCCAAAAAGGTCCTTGTCAACCTCGAGGGCATAATTTTCCTTACAAAAATTTTGGAGCAAAACAAAGACGATTTAATCCTGGTTGGTTTAGTGAATTTCCTACTTGGTTAGAGTATAGCATAGAAAAAGATGCTGCATTTTGTCTATGTTGTTATCTCTTTAAACCCGATGTTGGAGCGCAATCTGGTGGTGAATCTTTTGTTAGTGTTGGATTTTCGAATTGGAAGAAAAAAGATAGACTACAAATTCATGTTGGAGGACCGAATAGTGCCCACAATAAGGCTTGGAGAAGTTGTGAGGTCTTATTAAACCAAAGGCAGCATATTGAAACAATTCTCTCAAAACACTCAAACCAAGATCGAATTGATTATCGAACTCGTTTAGGTGCATCAGTTGGTGTCAGTAGGATACTTTTGCAACAAGGGCTTCCATTTCGTGGGCATGATGAATCTGAAAATTCAACCAATCAAGGGAATTTTCTTGCATTTTTACGATGGCTATGTCGTTTCAATGATGATATAAAAGCTGTCACGCTAAAAAATGCTCCTGAAAATATGAAGTTGACATCACCTGATATCCAGAAGGACATTTCAAGTGCTATTTCAACTGAAATTATCAATGCAATCATAAGGGATATTGGTGATTCATTATTTGCCATTCTTGTTGATGAATCGTGCGACATGTCTTCAAAGGAGCATATGGCAATTGTTCTACGTTATGTGGATAAAGGTAAGGTAATTGAACGTTTTGTAGGTATTGTCCATGTTACAGATACTAAATCTTCTTCACTCAAGTTAGCCGTTGATGATTTCTTTTCGAGACATGGATTAAGCATCTCTAGATTGCGAGGGCAGGGTTATGATGGCGCAAGTAATATGAGAGGTGAGTTTAGTGGTCTTAAAACACTCATTCTAAATGAGAATGACTCTGCTTTTTATGTTCATTGTTTTGCTCATCAACTTCAGCTAGCTTTGGTAGCTGTGGCAAAGAAACATTCAGAAATTGCAGATTTATTTACTATGGTTTCTAATGTGGTGAATGTTGTGGGTGCATCTGCTAAGCGCCGTGATATGCTGAGAGAAAAGCATGCTGATGTAATTTTTGAAGCACTCAATAATAATGAGCTCTTAAGTGGACAAGGCCTGAATCAAGAAACTAATCTTAAGCGGTCTAGTGATATACGATGGAGCTCTCATTATAATTGTTTAATCAGTTTGGAAAACATGTTCCCATCTGTGATAGATGTGCTTAAGATTGTAAGAACAGATGGATCAGGTTATGAACAAAAATTTGAAGCAAAGGTTCTATTGACTTTTATGCAATCATTCAGCTTCATTTTTGGTCTACACTTGATGAAAAGAATTTTGGGAATCACAAACAACTTGTCTCAGACATTACAAAAGAAAGATCAAGATATTGTGAATGCCATGGACTTGGTCAAAATATGTAAAGGAAGATTGCAAAGCATGAGAGATAATGGTTGGGATTCTTTACTTGATCAAGTTTCTTTCTTTTGTGGCAAGTATCATATTGAAATTCCTAAAATGGATAATATTTTTTCTAGTGGAGGGAGACCCAAACGTAAAGCTCAACCCATCACAAACTTACATCATTATTGTGTTGATTTATTCGTTGATGTTATTGATATTCAGCTCCGAGAGTTAAATGATCGGTTCAATGAGAAGAATACTGAATTACTTCTTTGTATGGCATGCTTGAGTCCAAGTAATTCATTCTCTGCTTTTGATAAAGCAAAGTTGATGCGACTTGCCCAATTTTATCCTAGTGATTTTTCTAAGTATGACCTCAAATTACTTGAAGAACAACTTGAGAATTACATTTGGGACGTGAGCTCTAACGATGAATTTACAGAATTGAAAGGGATTACTGATCTTGCTCAAAAGATGGTTGAGACAAAAAAAGATCAGATCTACCCTTTAGTGTACTTGCTTTTGACACTGGCACTAATCCTACCTGTTGCGACCGCAAGTGTAGAGCGAGTATTTTCTGCTATGAATATTGTGAAGAATCGGTTACGCAATCGAATGGGGGATTTGTGGATGAATGATTGCTTGGTTGCATATATTGAGAAAGACATTTTTAATAGTATAGATGACGAGGTTGTTATGCAACGATTTCAAAATATGAAAACTCGTCGAGGACAATTATGATTATAATGAATAGACAATATGATTTTTGATGTTTTGATGTCTTGTGAGTTCGAAGTTTTTATTGTTTATATTTTGTGAAAGGCCCCCAGACACATGAAATCCTGGCTTCGCCACTGGTAGAGCAACATGTAGGAACTCATTTTAACTTAAGGTGGCTAGTCCAAATTCATCCTATTGACACATGCACATACATGCAAATACTTAAGTCTTTAAATATAGTATATATTTGTATTTCCTTGGAGAATAAGTAGGTTCGATTCCTTGGGGAATAAGTACGCAGGATCTCTTTTAATTGTTTAATAGTTGCTTCAGTTATTACACCAATAAGAAGCTAGTAGCAACCGACTTCTTCTAGTATAAATAGGCCTATTCGTTGCATCTTGTGAAAAACACACAAACCTTGTGTATTAATTGACGTGGAGTGACAGGTGAGGGGGGGTGGGGGGGGGGGGGGGGGGGGGAGGGAGAGAGCTACTGGTTTCCTGGAAGAGTAGAGGTCCCAACTTGTGTATTTTCTTATCTTGGATTATGCTTTGGAATCGAGGTAGGGGTTTCTTGGGGTCCTTTACGGGGATTGATCTAATTAAATTTTTTGAGCTTTATATTATGTGTGATATTGTATAATGTTCTTGATATAGGATATTTACATATTGTGAACTATTTGAATAATGTTCGCATAATTATATCATGTCATGGAAATTGGTTGGAGTTTTTGGGTTGAGAAAATAAAGATGGAAACAAGGGTGATGGAAATAGTCTTTTGTGTAGTTGAGTCTAACTCTTGGCAGGTACCAGGTCTCAAGGATCCCACAGTGCACATTATTTTTATTGGGTGATTCGGGACTGGCGAAAGGGAGTTAGACAAGATGACTAACAAAAGAGGAATTATGGGATGATTGAGATGGGCGTTAGTTCATATAAATGGGCATTCGGGATCAAGTGGTATAAGCATGGTATGAGACGTGCAAGTCTGCTTGTCCAGTTATATGAATTAACGGAATAGAATTGAAGAGCATTCATGCATTATTATTAGTATTATTATTATTAATGTGATATTTGGTTATGTGATTGCATATCACCTAATTTAATTATATCAATCTATTGTGGTAAGGTCTCATATCTCTACACCCCTCACCCTGTTTAATTTTTCAAATGAATTAGTGGGCAAGACGAGGACTAAATCGATTGAGGGTGAATTAGATGAAAGTAGTAGAGCTTTATTTATTTCTTGTAAAGTTGTAAGATTTTGAACCTATTTTTATAAGAGAAGTTTATTTTAAACCATGTTTCGGCAACTTTTTATTTATTTATTTTTTCCTCACGCGCCGAGCGCAGGGTTTCCACCAACCCCTGGGTTCGGGGCGTGACACATTGCGTCTGGTTTTGGAGAGAGAGTCCTCTTCTTCTGAAACAGACCTTCATTATTTATAGGGGTGGATGAACTTGTAATGATAGAAACAGTAACAAGACCTTTGGCTTGTGGCTCAAGGTCAGTTGCTCGTTTGCTGATCTTAACCAATTCATAGAGGGAGTGATAGGGGTCTTCTGGTAAGAACCGTCAGTTTCCTTTGTAGAGTTTTCTTGATTTGACTTTTCTGTACTTGAAAACCCGGCTGGCAACTTTGATCTTTTCTGGTTTCGGAGGCTTCAGTACAGCTTGTTTTCTTGCTGGAAGTGAAGAAGGTCAAGTCGTATTAAATGTGATAACCCCCTTCGACCTCCCGCATGGGTTTAGAAAAAACGCTTACCAATCTCTTGAACTTGTAGCACGAGACAAAGGCCTGATTCTCATGACTTGGGCCCTTCTCTCTTTTTTTTATTATGAGAGGCCTAGTTGGGAGATGGATAATCTTGAGAAAGGACAAACGATGGTGGGCCTGGTTTTACCTTTTTTTTCTTAAAAAACTCTTTTTTAAAACCTTTAGACCATTTTTGGCCCGTTTACCAAAATTAGGTACAAACAATGTTTTTGAAGAGTAATCACACATAATTTCGTGAAAGTCCTCTTGTTCTTATAATGTTAAAACTTGGCCCTCTGATAGTAAGTCATGCGATCTTAACAAAGAAAGCAAAAGTTAAGAGAAAAGGTGTAATATATATAACTACTACATAACTACTACAATTTACGTTTGAAAACAAGATGAGTGATACAATATTACTGGGCTTTTGTAATTGACATATATATATATATATATCTATATATATAAAGCAAAAGATAGAGAATGGTGAAACATTCAACTAGTATATATATATATGAGATTGAAATTTAATTCCTAAAGAACCTATTCAACTAGTAAACTTCACCAATGGGGTTAGTTGGATTAGCCCATGTCTTTGAAGTGCTCCCAAGTGGTCTAAATTCAAATTTCCATGATACCCGTGTATGTGAGTTTTTTCCTTCCCCTTCCTAACTTCGGCCAGAAAAACAGAGAAGTAAACTTCATCATTATTATATTCCCCTTTAGCGACAATTTTGTATACATCACAAGACACTTGGCTTTTGCCTTAGATTTCATAAATAAATAAATAAAACCTGCCCATACATCAGAAGACACTTAGCTTTTATTTAGGGTTACGAGTAACCTTAGAACACTAGAGTTTCCACCCTTAGTTGAAATCAATGTGATAAACAGGCTGTTTGTTAGGAAAGAACAGCCCCCAGTGTCTCTCAGTCTCTTCTCCAGGTTTCTTATTCTCATTAAACATGGCAAACATATAAGTCTCTATGGGGACTCTAGGTCTCTTTGGCGTCCCTCCCTTCACGTGCTTGATCAAATTTGAGTTGTAAATTCTCGCATTCCCCTTCGTTGTCACTGTCCCATCCCCACCAGCCGAGGGCCAACCAGTCTCTGATACGACGATTTTCAAAGAACCGCCTCCAGCCTTCTCTAATGCTGAGTAAGCCGCATCCAAGATTGCATCAAACAGGTTTGGAGGGTAGGATTTTTCAAGAATTACAGGGTAAACCGCAGTGGAGACTTTGATTTTGTTTGCAAGACCAGCCTTAGAAATTGCATTTTGAATTTTGTCCATTGCTGGGCCGACAAAGGGTGCTAGAGGACCTACGGCATCTACTTCATTTCCAACCGCAATGTATTTGAAATTGACATTGCCATAGCTTTGGACATTCTTTTTTACCCAATCATCTGCACTGGCTTGGCTAGAAGAAATGTCTTTAAGGCGCTCATTTTCTACACCTAGAATGAGCTCAATTGGGGAGCCTTGGAGGGCTTGGAGTGCGTCAAAGTTAGGAGCATAGAGCCTCATTCTTTGGATGTTGTATTGCTTGTAGAGAGCTATTACTTCTCTTGGTGGAGGTAAGTTGTCTCCAACTGTTCCATAACAAACACCAATACTTGCTTCTGCATATATATGTCAGTTTTTCTTACTTTCGCTTTATGAATAGAAATTTTATAGCATCCATATATGTGGAAAAAATTAAATACATATATACATACAAGAGAAAAGCAAAGGCCTGTGGTTTGAAGTGGCTAATTAATTTAGAGTAATTTAGACTATCGTTTGTATCAAAATAAAATAAAAGTATGCTAAGGCACTACAAACTTGGAAGTCATGCATATACAAGGTATACGTGTATATATCTATACTTTTCCAAGTTCCGGTGATGTGCATGTTTTACATTTATATCAAGTAAAAAAATAATAATATAATAGAATTAAAGAGACAATCAACAATAATTTAAATAATAAGGAAAAGCACAAAATAATATGTTCCCTTTTTTTTCTCTCTTCCTATTTCTTGTCTATGTGAGAAAGTAGACAACCTGTTCTGGCAAGAGTAGCCATTAGCAGACCACAAAGCAGCATTATGGAAACCATGGAAGGGCTTTTGCTAACTACATGTGACTTGGCCATTGTGCAAATTTTTGCAGGTCGAAAGCTGAAGTAAGCTGAGAAGGAAAGAGGCACTGCTTTTCCAAGTTCTGAGGTTCCCTCTTTATAGATGGAGCCACAGACTCAAAGATGCACTCCATGGTAATTAAAAAATTATGAGGTTCCCACTTTTCCAAGTTCTGAGGTTCCCTCTTTACCAAGAAATTACGAAATTTGGTACAGCTTGTAGAAAACGTTGCATTAGTTAGCACGGTACTGCTCGAAACAGACCCTATTGAACTTTTCTTCCACAAAAACAAGTGGTGGAGACTCAACTGTATCTGTGTTCATGAAGTCTATGGTCTTCTAACCATGTCTCAACTTGTAGGCTCCACTCTCCATCACTAATGTGCATGTAGACTATGCAAAATTGAAGCTTTTAATTTAGACAAACGTTTCTATATGTGAAAACAATTTCATAGAACACCATATACTCTCTGCATATAGATGTACAGTTTTTGATTTGTTCCCTCATATAGTATAAGAGTATATGGAGGGCAAATATGGGGTTTATGATTGGATTGGATTGGAT